GCCCGGCCCCGCCGCGGGCAGCCAACCCCTCCCGGCCGAGGGAGCCGACACCAAGACCTATCTGTGGGCCAGGTACCACGAGATGAAGAAGCTGGTCTACGGTAAGGGCCGCCTCCGGGCTCTGGGACTGCCACGTCGTGCCAGGCTTCGCCTTTCTTCTTTCTTGTTTTCCCCCTTTCTTTGCATCCTGGTGCCTTTCCCCGAGCTGCAGAACTGGGGATGTGCCCGTTGCTGTGCAGCTGCCGGGGTTAGCAGCCCTGGCAATGCCATCCACACGCCTTCTTCACAACTGCCCCCTTAACAAGGGTAAAAGTCACGGCAAATGGTCTAAATGGAGGGCTTGTGGCATTTTCCTCAAATGTGTTTTCTGGCATAGAGAAATGTGGTTAGACTAGGATGAATAGGCAGGGACGTTGATTGAAGTGGTGAGTAGTCCATGGTTCAACTTGTAACTCACCATTGGCACGAGGATGAGCATGGAGAAGATTGATGCTACAGCTGCTAGGATGTCTCCTGATCCTGAGCTCAGTTTGTGTTACAGACGCAAAGCACCTTTTACTCATGTGTGCATGTGTGGTTTTGTTTATCTCGCCAAGAAGTTACCTGGTTCCAGCAGATACATTGACATCTTGCCAAAGGAGGAGAAAACTCTTCCTATTGGCTAAATCTGCCCATGTGTAAAACAGGATTGTGGTCTTTTGGGCAGCAGCAGACCTCTACTGTGTTAAATGCTTCTAAAAATGTGGAAAAGTAGCTCTCATGGCATAAGGGCAGGGAATTTTTCCTGCTGGTTTCTTGGAATGCTGAAGGTAAGCACTGTACAGCTAGGAAGTGTGACTTTGTCTGCCGTTAAATAGCTTTCCTTTAGCTTTTGTTTATCTAAAGGTTTGGAAAGGGAGAACAGCCAGCCTTAGGCATCTGGAAGAACCGTCTTGCTGTTCTGAGAGTGACAAGTTGTGTCATTCCCTCCTTCCTTATCTTCCACTACATGAGATCTGACATAAAATGATGCACAAACATAAAGGAATTGACTGCTGATCTGTTGGGTACTCAGCCTGCTCATTCCGGCTTTTGCAGGATGTGAGCTCCTTTGCTTGAGCCACTAAGACAGTACAGGGTGCTGACAGAGGACAGTAGCTTTGTGTTGAGTCCCTGCTCCAAGACTGAGTTTTAGCCTCACTGCTTAAGAGAAATTCCAACTTGCAACACTTGTAATGGTGTTTGGAGCTTGATATCCTCAAAGGCTATTTCTTTCTTTTCCATAATGGTATTGAAAGAGTAAATGCAGATATGTTCATAGGCTGTGTTATGGTCTCTTGAGAAAATGCTCAGTTTACTATGTGGCAGATTATGAAGTTTCTATTCACATAGTTACACTTTGTAGAGATACAAGAGATACAGTTATTGCTTGAGGTGGAGAACTGATGAGCAAGACTAAAGGCAAAATGAAGTTGGGCGAGGTAACCCGTGAGTTACAGAGCAGACTCTTGGCAGACCTTCAAGTAACTACTGGACATGTTGAATGAGGTGGCCCTCAATTGTTTAAAGAACAGCTCTCCAAACCAAAATTTCAAGACTGTGCTGTTATTCAAGTCTTGTCAAGAAGAGACATAAACAGAGTTGGTCCACGTTGGTTTTAATTGTTGCCTTGATAACTAAATCGCCTTGTGCAAAATGTTCATCAATTTCTTCTTTTGCTATTAATTTCTAATGCTGATGTAAAGGTGAATGTCTGTGGTGAGTTATGGATTTGAAAACATCATCACGTCTCAATACTCATCGGCATGGAGTTTGAGAAGACTTCTGGGCTACCACCTTCTTTCTTCCTTGTCTGAAAGTCTACTTACGACGTCCTTTGTCCTATGTTATTAGTTACTGCTATTGGTTTTGCAGAGAGGTCTCTGCCAGGAGAATTTATGTGTTTTCAAACCAGCTCTTGCTTAGGATCTGATTTATAGAACAATGTTGCTTTTTTGCACGGGATGGATTCTAATGACAAATGCTGACCAAGTTAGACAGGGCAGGATGTGTAGGACAAGAGCTTCTGTAGAGTAAAGCTCACTGGTGGTATGGTTTAGTGTCAGAGCCCAGGCACCAGAAGTTCTCAGCTTTGTAGAAACACATCTGTGTTCTGCCAGGCTTGAGTGTGGTGATATAAATGACAGCACAACATAGCTACACAAAAGGTGCTCCTGAGGTGAAATCTCTTAGTGCTGGCTCAAGAGAAGCCATTCTCTTCATTTTTTCTCTACCTTTTGCAACACTGATATTTACGACCAAACTTCATTACCTGCCAAGAACTTAAGGCTACTTCTTCTACTTAATGTGCTTTTCTTTTCTTTCCTCTGCCCAAATGAAAAATGTAATTGCATTTGTCAGGGGGTGGTGTTGAGCAATACTTGTTGTACTCTGATTTGATGACATCCGAAGTGTCAAGGAAGGCTGATATGCTCTCTAAGCAAGCAGTGTATGAAGTCTTGCTCTCTAGGAAACATCCAATCCTGAAACTCTATGGAAATGGCAAGCAAGGGAGGATTTAGCTGTAAGCAGGTGTATGTTTTTAACTAGATCTTTCAAACTTGTAAACATTGCTACAATAGATTTGCTTTCCTAAGGAACCTTTGTAACAACTGTTAACTCCTTGCCTCTTCATGACGAGCTTGAGCGTGGTTGAAAGTGAGAACTGCTGAGAGTAGAGACAAGTCTGCAGACAGCACGAACTTGGTTAGGTGTTGATAAGACTGAGGGTGTAGCTCAGAGGTAGTCCTCGCTCTTCCTAGTTTGTGTGGATTGAGATACTTTCGCATCTAAATAGTGCAGGCTGCAGTCAGCAGCATGTGCCCATCGCATTTGGAAATGGGAGAGAAGATGACACCCTGGTGTGATCAGTGCATTGGTGATTCTGCTGTGCAGAGGGGGTTTTGCAATCCAGCACATTTTGATTCTGCTTGTGTCACTAATCTCAAGCACGCACGAAGATTTAAAGGCCTCACTCTTTGCCAAACCAGGAAACAAGTCTAGTGCTATGATGATAAATGCCCTGTAAATCAATTAGGGAGTGTGCACATTGAATGAGTTGTGGCATCCTCAGATTGAGATGGGACTGGGAATGACAATGAGCAGCCAGAACTGGAAGTGTGACCAGCTATGTTAACTTCCTAATTCTGCTTTCCTAAATGTAAACATTTTTTTCTCATAAAGAACTCTTACAGTAACATTTGGTTAGTGCCTTTTTTTATATAAAAAAATGTGTGATTTTTTTAATGAAACAAGATATTTTTTAATATTGCTTTTAGTTTGTGTATATTTTATTGGCAAGAAATCCCAGAATGTTTAGGCACAATGGCATAAATTCAAGACTATGCTCCAGAGTAATTTTCAGCACTCTTTTTAACATGATTCCATTATCATTTAACATTCTTTAAGTAATATTTCCTTCTCCCTCTTTTTGGTAGAAGCATCTACTTCGTCTGGTTGGAGTGCTTTGCAGGAAATGGTACAAAACAACACTTCAAAAGGATAAAGAGGTACTTGGAAGGGAGGAAAACTGGCAGTTTGCCTTCAGGAAGAAAGTCAGTGTGAGCAAAGGGAACTTTCTGATTCATGAAGAACATGGAGCGTGGTGGCCATCTGCTTTTCAGTGTCGTTCTATTCCTTGCTAGTCTTACAAGGAAATTAGTGCAGATGTCTGCTGCATTGGACCTCTGGGAGTACAAAGGGTGTGAGAGATGGGTGTGAGTTGCCTTTTTTATGTATTCTTCAATAACATGCTGGATCTGAGGCTGAGAGAAAAGGAATGCTTCCTGCGTGATGCTGTTGGTACCCCTGGGAGCTCAGGAAAGCACAGACGTGCTTGGCACCTCCTGACCAGAGCATTTTTCACATCAGAAGGGGCCATATGGTGTCTTGGCATCTCTAACAGTTGCACACAGTTAATTACCTGCTTTTGTTTCCATCTCTGCTCTCTTGTTGGGTTTGAGTGTTAGTGCTTTCTAACAATGTGGGCTGTTGCCTGGGAAGAGACACTTGTACTGTTACGAAGATATTCCAATTTAAGCAGCTGTTCAGGGCTTCATAGTGGTAAAGTGAAGGAGGTATTGTGTGTTTACCTTGCATTTACACCCACATGGAAAAAAAGCATGAGCTTTCTTGTGCTATGCTTTTGTGGCTGAGTTTCACCATGTACCACGGATATGCAGATACTTTCCTTAAAACCATCAGAGTAGCAAACAAGAGCAAATTGTGCAAGTATGCAGATTCCAGGGGGTTGTATGTATTGCAAGAGCTGTTTTTTCCCCACTGTCCTCACATGTACACATGTCGTTTCTCTCTTCGATCACACTTCCTTGCTGAAGTGCTGAGTAGACAGTGACTATTTGTGATATTGTTTCCATTTCCAGCTAGGACTCAAATGGAAATGGTAGATGGGATTTTCATTTAATAATCAAAAGTTATTTTAATTTTGTTTGGGTTTTTTTCTTGCTTGTAATTTATCATATCTGTCCAGCAAGCTGTTACTGTGCCTTAGCAGAGGAAAAACAAAAGCTATCATGCTTGAAAAACGCCATCTTCATGGGCTTCTGGAGGGTGTCTGTTTTGACTTGACAATTGCCATGTGAACTGAGGCAGAGATCCCTGGCAGATTACGTGCTGAGTGTCAGCAGAGCAGCAGCACCCAAGTCTGCAGCCCAGGACTTGATTAAGCGCTCACAATTTGTAACCACCAAGGTGATTATCTTTAAAAAACCCACCAAACACGAAAAAGCAAAACAAATCAAAACAAAAACCAAACTGGGATTATCTTAATAAAAATCCCCAAACCCAAAAAAGAACACCCCCCCCAAAAAAAAACAAACCACCACCCCAGACAAAAAACAACAACAACAACAAAGAATCTCAACAAAACCAAAACAATCAACCAAGCAAAATCCACCAAAACTAAGAAGCAAACCAAACAAACAAAAATCCAAACTTCTTGAAACTGGGCTCAGTAAACCTGGCATGTTTGGGCTCTCATGTTGAAACCGATCTTTCATGTGCTCCCACCTTTTGTCTCTTCTCTGAAGTAGTTTGAACCTGCAGAGAGCCTGCATGAACTTAAAAAGGAGAGGGGTGCCTACACCCTATTGCTTCAAGCGGACATTTACGCTGAGTAAAACAGCAGCATGTGTCTCTGGACTGAAACCCAGAGCTTTTTTCTTTCTTTCTAGGAGATCAATGACTTTGAAACTACTGTAAATGTAAGATGGAGGATGGCAGCGTGGAAAGAGCAAGCTGTCAGCAAACTGCCTCAAGTTGGTTTTGTGACAATGATGTGTGTTAGCGCAAGGAGATGTGTGCTGCTCCAGGAAGTGTGCGTATGGAACGTGTGTGAGGCAATGATGAGAAAGCGTTTTGGCTAGTGTATGCATCTTTTCTCAGCCCTAATGAGGTAAGAGAGGACATGCTGTGTAAGTTAGTGACAGTCTGTGAGTAAAATGATCTGGTCAGGAGGTTGTCAGAGAATAACAGAGAGACTCTGTGCTTTTGAGACTGTCAGGGAAGAGTATTACTTCATCCCATGGATCTAAATATACTTCATAAATCATATTGTGGCACAATTACTGCTTATGCTTCTGATCACAGATAAGACTCACTTCATGCTCTTGGTGAATCTCAGACTACCCTTTCCTTGTTACAACACCATACCGCTTGCTTAGCTTTTCCAGAGTGTGTTTCTGCAAAAGTTGTGGCTGTTGTTGAATCTAGATGGGTGTCATGTCCTCTGTGAAAGAAGAGATGGGGTTCAGACAGTGGTGTTTTGTGCTGCTCTCATGCTATCAAAATGTGCTGCCATAAATCTGTTAGCAAATGATGAATGTTGGAAGAGCTTGACCTCTCTGTAGGGATATGGTAGCAGCAAGTGGGGTCCATTTGTTGTATTAATAAAAAAATGCTTTCATAGGAAGATGAAAGTGCTGCACATTTACACTATGATATGATTAGGGCTGTATCATTTTCCTTGTGAGGAAGAAAAATAACACTTTGCAAATACCAATGTTTGCTTGGAAAAAGATCTTCCCACAAGTTATCTGGAGGTGAGGACAGGAAGTGGAGCTCTGTTTGCTTATGGTGCAAAGAGTGTTTATGATGGGAGGATGAAAGTTGTGATCATCCAAATCCTATTTATGGTTCCCATCTTTCAAAATCCCAGTGGAAAGTTCTCTGATTGCATCCGCTCTCTTCAGCCTCTTGCAGGAACTTTGCCACCAGCAGCGTCACTGAAAGGGAGCTCTTGTTCCTGTTGTGTAGGCAGTAAGTCAATCCTTCTGCCTTAAAATACTGCTTGTTTTTTTAGTTCCTCTCTAGTTGATCCGGTGAATTTCATCTGAAGGCCAAAGGAAAGTGAGTTAGGAGAGAGGGATGGGTATATTTGTAATGTGTCTCCCCTCAGAAAATAAATATGATATATCTGAATCCTGTTTCTTTGGTCACGTCTTTGGATTAGTGCTCACAAATGTGCTCTGGGTTTTTACCTAAATTCTGTAATCATTCCAGAAAAAGTCTTTATTGGGAATGGTTGGTATCTCTTTCTAATATTATTTTTTTTTATTCTAGATTCAGATGAAACTTGGTTTTGTAGCAAGGAAGCACTAAAGAACTGGCACAGGGGTTCTTGCTAAAAGCCAGAAGTTAAGGTAGGAAGGGAAAAAAAAAATCCTACCCACTGATGCTGTGTAGGATTTGGAAAATGTCTGCACTCTTCCTATCATTCAAAGAGAAAATTACCTGTCTTTGAGGAGAGAGGAAATGGCTCCTTCCCCTCTGTCCTCCAGTGTGGATGTGACTAGGCAACCTACTATGGGGAACTATTTTTATTGCTCTTTCTCATCTTGCAATGGACAGCTCTCTGGAGTGGGAAGCCTGGAAAGGGTCTATTCCTGTCTCTCCCATTGTAGTGCTGCTAAAGCTCTCTGCTCTCTAGACTAGCGCTGAAAAAGAAAATACAGATAGTTCAGCTGGAAGGTCACTTAACCCCCATTTTCCCAGTGGTGTGGGGAGCAAAGCGTTATTCACAAGCATCTTGAATAGTAACCCTGTTGGGAAGTGACAAACCACATGCAAGGACTGAGCTGTTTCCACAGCTGTTTTATCAGAGGAAAGCAGATAACTTGTTGCTATCAGCATTGTGTGCTCCAAGAGCATAGCTTAATGTGGGGTTTTTTTACATTTTGTTGGTGTCTGTACAAAACCTTGCTTTATCCTGCTCATTTATAATTAAAAAAACCCAACCCAAAAAACAACAACAAAGCCTTAACAGTACCCGCAGGATTGCTCTGTGAAGTGTGGCTGCTTCTGTGAGAAACCTAAAGTGCCAAAAGAGAAACCTCACCACTTCTAAACTGAAGTAATCCAGGTTGCTCAGAGGAGAGTTAGCCTATTTGTCTTGCTCAGGTTTTAAGTGAGGGTACATGTTTTCCTGGTGATTCATTGCAGCTACCTTCCATGCTGGTGAGCTGCTGGTGAAATTGCAGCTGAGCAGTTGCTGTGAGCTAGAAATTTGAGACTTGAGAATCTCCATCTGCTTTGCTTCTTGTAGACCAGAGAGGACATTGTTTTGCAGCTTCCTGACACAAAAGTTCAGTCTTACTGTTAAAGACTCATCCCTAGTCGCAGCCAGAGGTTTCACAGTGGTTTTTTTTCATGGGGAGAATTATCCGAGTGAGTTTTCGGCAGTAGCAATGCTTCTTTGCTGCTGCTTGGTGGTACTTCCAGCTCTAACAGGTCCACAATGAAGAGTTGAAATTTCAGTGCTCCTTGCAGTTTCTTTAACCTCTCCCCTTTCCCTTCTCTTAGATCTCCTTCCACCAGGAGTCTGCAACCTCCTCAACCCGGCAGCCATCTACGCAAACAATGAGATCAGCCTGGGAGATGTTGAGATATATGGCTTTGACTACGATTACACATTAGCACAATACTCTAATTTACTACACTCTATGATATTCAATACTGCCAGAGACATCCTAATAGAACAATTCAAGGTAATGATGTGCTAAGAATTTCCACCCAATTAAGCTTACTGCAACGCCCCAGATGTGCTTGCAAAATGCTGCATTGTGCACATGTGCCAATTACTTGTTTTATTGAGATAAATGTCATGTTTCACAATCTTTGGTTGCAGAAAGTTTTGCCTGTACACGGAATGAGTTTCCTTTGAGACAACTTACCACACTGTACATTCCTGAGGTTTTATAAATATGGAGCAGGAACCTTAGTCTAGAAAGGTCTGGCCTGTTTTACTTAACTATGGCAATAATGCCTACAGCATTGCTGGTTCGAGGCACACATGGTGGATAAACATGAACTGTGGACCAGCACTGAAGCCGTACAGGACTTGACCTGTGTGAGTCAATGCAGATGATGCTGCAGAGCTTGTCCAGTAATGGGTACCTTGTTTGCAATAGATCTATGCATGTTCTCCTCGCCATGTTTTTCATTTTAGAGGGGCTCTGCAGTGCCACTGCTTTGCCAAATATGTGCATTGAATGGAGCTTACTAGAAGTGTCCTCACTGCCTGCGTGAGTCTGTTACACTTTCACTAGTGTCCCTTACATGACAGAAACTAGTTTTGGGGATCCTGTTCCTTTATGTCTTTCTCTAGTCATCCACTTTCTTTGTTGAAGGGGCAAAATCATGTGCACCTGTTCCTCAGCCAGTTTATGCCTGGGGTGAGCAGACTAGTTGGACTGAGCCAGGTCAACAGGTGAAATGATTTTGCTGATAATCCAATGCTTATGCCTCTAATGATGTCACTGTTTGTCTTCTCAGTATCCAGAAGGGCTTGCGAAGTATGACTACATTCCAGGGTTTGCCATACGTGGACTTCACTATGATGTACAAAAGGTAAGCTGTACAAAGTTCAGTCTCCTGGGCTTTGTCTTCCATTGAGTTATGTTTTTAGTGGAAATATTTTCTGTCATTGCTTGCAATAACATCGATCACCAAGCTATCAGTGAGCCCAGGTGGCTGTGCTTTTCATCTTGTGGGTTCTTCTTGTTTATAAACCTTCCAAGGGAAAGATGTCTTTTGTGTTTGCATAGCCTCTAGCAGAATGGGACATTCTAGCAAAGAATTCTGGTAAATAAGCCTTGCCAGTTTAAAAGTCAGTTAATTCCACACCTAGTAAATAGAAAACTGAGCTGGTTTCTGTGATCATTTCTGTCTTTCAGGAAATTTAAGCAACAAACCTCAATCCTGCCACTACAAGTATTTGCCAGGAGCAGAGGCATTATGTCTTACTCTAATAATAGAAATGACTTGTCAGGCGAATGCTTTAAGGAAGCCTTCCCCACCCCCTACCCTGAATAATAGGACTGCCTGGAAAAAGATCCAAGCTACTTGAGATGCATGCTTCTTAGGAGCACAGGCCTGCAAAGTGCAAGCTCTAGCTTTAACCCTTTTCGGTGCTTTGGACAAATTCCCTGAAAGCCTGATTCCCAATGATGTCATGCTGGCTGCTGCAGCCATGCAGTCAGGTGGGAGCCCAGTAGAGAAAGTTACTTCACTGTAGTAGCTTTTCTCATGTTGAGCTTTGAGCAAATCTAGGGTAGCAGGCAGTACAGGCTGGAGTGTGTGTGCTGTTCTCCAGCAATGGAAGTAAAGAGAATGAAGAAAAATGTATAGAGTTTTCCCATGTCTTTTGTCCTAACTCTGGTGGCAGCATGGCAGCAGACCACCCATGCCTCTGACTTCATAGAGTGAGAAGTGGATCTGTGAGAGAATGTGAGAAGTTTTTTTCTCTGTTTAAATCTCTGGCTCATATATTGGCAAAACACAGACCAGCCTAGCCAAGCAAAGCCAGTGAGCGAGTAGAAGGTGAGAACTCCCTTTTCTTAGATCACATTCTGCAGAAGACACAAAAAGCTGGGTAGTGCCTATCTAAGTTAGTCAGCATGTTTGCCTGCACTCCTCACAAACGAGTGGGAGGTCTGCCCGTGGTGCAACCAGCTGCCATGATACGGTATCACGATAAAAGAAGGTGCCTGAAGGTTGTGAATGCTCTGTGGGATCTATCACCTTGCACTGTGGTAGAAACAGCACAAATAGTTTGATGCTGTGTCCTTATTTGAGTTGCAGAGCATTGTGGATTTAGTACAAGGCTGCTTTTGATGCCTGGGCACTTGTGTTAGGGCTTCACAATGATGGATGGTGGAGAAGAGATGACTCACGAATATGTGAGTCTGATACAAAAAGCGTGCAGAAAGCTCTGATGTTACCAGCCTGGCATGCTCCCGAACATCTTTGCTGAAGTCTATTGGGGAGGGAGAGAAATGGTGGAGGGGAGAGCTCTTGTGTGAAGAAAATGACTCGGTGCAGCTGAGTCCTGAACCAAAACTTGCCCATTTCATTCTGCTTAAGATAAATGTGATGACAAATAGATGTCTTGTGCACACAAAGTTCCTTTGCAATGTGTGTGCGCTTTTGGAAGAGAGATAAGAAGCGACTGAGTCACAGAAACATTGTTCTCTCTGTTTTTCAATTGCATCCCTGTCCACAAACGTTGGAGTATAACAGAGAGTGGTATTTTAGCTCATAGAAAGGTGATATTTTGCCAGAGAAGCCAATTATAAGTCACAGTATGAGTAAGTGTGTGTGAAAGTGGCTGGAGACTAAGTGCCACTTATAGTATATAAATGTGGAATGTTCATATTGAATTTTATTTTCTAAATGTAATTTGTGTGGAACTTGAAACTTAAATAAGGTTTTAGTATAAACTTCTAACAGTAAATGTCTATCCCTTATCACAGAGTCTTCTCATGAAGATCGATGCTTTCCATTATGTCCAGCTGGGGACGGCATATAGGTCTGTCAGTTCTGAAAGTTATTTTCTAAATGCTCATATATGCAAAAGGGGATTACTAAATCTGAGTGTATGTTCATGGCACATGGGGTGAGCAGAGCACACTCTCATCTGGCTTATCCTGTTTGTGCTTGCTTCAAATGCTTACCTGGCATATAATTGCAGGGAGTTATTTTTCTCAAGCGTTTCAAGCCAAGTGTGGGTGGGAAGACCTGGAGCTTTTTGCAATGGTTAATAACACATCTGGTCACGTATTCTGCATGATGTGTGAGTACGTGACAGCATGCCTGGGTTAATGCCTGTGAGCAAACAGTGCCACTAGGAAAGGACTCCTCTGTAGGTGGTCCACATACAGGCCTGTCTTCTCCAGGCAGGAATGTATCCCAGCAGTGGTCTGCTGTTCCTTCTCATAAACCTAAGAGGGGAGTGGGCCAGATAATGCAAATAAAACCTTAAAGCAGTGCAGTCATGTCAATAGAAGTAACGGTGCATGAGAACATGGGCTCAGTTTAGGGGTTAGGTTTTAACTCCTGTTGACCTCCAAGGAGAGCTGGACATGTGTTTGACAAATGGCTGAAACAGTGCAGAGTCTGGAGACTGGGAGAAAACCTTGCCCCAAAGTGGAGTGGGGTGTTAGTATGTAAGGGGTAGTAATTCATAGGTATTGGTAGCAAAGCTCCTGTAAATCTGTGTCGTATTTCCTGAGCATGGAAGCCAATGTTGTTTTTCTCTTGAACTCTGCCCTTTTGCTGTTAAGCTTCAGTTACAGTAAACACTCTAAGAATTTTAAGAAGGGAGTTTCATAATCAAAGAGAATTGGCTGCTTTGAGTGCTAGCTTTTGAAGGGGGAGAGAGGGGCTTGGTACCGCCCCATATTTCAACTCAGCTTTGCAAGAGATTTTTAGTGAAAACTTGTTTAAATATTTTTTCCCATGGTGTCATTTTGTAATTATCCTTCTTGAAGTGTACTTTTCCTAAACTGTCCTTTGCTTTTGAGCACAACTGAGGCAACTTTTTACTTCTGAGAGGCTGTACCGTGATTGAATAAGAAAGGAGCAAGGGAAAGTTGCTGACTGCTTGAGTAAACAGCCATCAAAAATTGTGCAAGAGGCAAAACATGCAGCAATCAGATAACCTGATGTTCACAAGTGGTACAGCTCATAGCTGCGCTTGGTGATATCTGTGCTTGATACCCATGACTACCATGTTTCAGGATAAAAATGTGGCCTTTGTTAAATGGTCTAAGCAAAGAATTTGTTTTGCTTGGGAAAACTGGATAGGAAGGAATCTTCATTTTCAGAAATCTCTCTTCCATTGCTTTTAATGGTGATGTACCTTGTGGAAGCAACCTCCAAAACTACAGTTACTCAGCAGAGCCAAAGTCAGGTTGTGGGGCTGATTTGGTGGGGCAGTCCTGTCAGCAGATTGACAGCATGTGGAGAGAAGCCTCTGTCTGAACTTTGCTGGAATGTGGATAAAGCCCCTCAATTAACTTGAAGAAGCAAACAAGGTATCTGAAGAATGTCTCAGGAAAGGTTTTATGTGAATCTTAAGAAACTATGGAGCTATCAGGCTCTCTGGCTATCTTTATTGTGCAAGATAAATTTGTGAGTTTTAGAAAGGAGCCTGTTTGTCCCATCTTCTCTTTCTTTGCAGTTTATAGCTCTGTGCAGACTGGTGATTATTGGCAAACTATTTCTGTTGTTTTGTGTCTAGAGGGCTTAAACCAGTGCCTGATGAAGAGGTAATCGAACTCTATGGTGGTACGCAGCACATCCCCCTGTACCAGATGAGTGACTTCTATGGCAAGGTATTGTAAGCCCTTTACTGCTATGATGCAGCAGCTGTTTTAAGAGCTGTGAAAACAAAGTGAATTGTATGAGCATGTAAATGACTCCAGCCTTCCTCGGACTCCAAAAGGCTTAGTCCCTAGTGACCTGCACTGTGTGTTTTGTTCTAGTGGGAATTTGCCCCAGAGGTTATTTAGCAGTTTAGCATGTGAAAGACATCTGTGAATAATTCTAAACACCAGGGCTATTGGCCTAGAGCTGAATGGCTCTGGAGACTGATATGGAGATGTTCCCTGCTTGGTCCTTGGCCAAATCTAGCTCCCAACAGCAGCCTGCAGTGATGCTGTTTGCAGTGAGTTGTGCAGGAGGGGGCATATACGTGTGTAGCAGCAGGGTGGTTGCAGTGCCTTTCTCTTTGGTTTTGGGTATGGTTCTTTTTCCTTCATTAAAGGGATCCCCCTCCGCACCTCAGTGGCTACTATTCTTAGGGTTGGCTCCCATGAGTGTGGGTTTTGGGCTTTCTTTTAGGCAGAAAATCTTACTGTCACAATCAAGTATTGAGATTGTGCCCTTAGGAGCTGTAGAAATCCTTCAGTTGCCTGAACCAGAGGAAGTTAGGAGAGATTTTACTTCCTCAAGTGTCTAGTGTTATGCAGTGGGCAAGCAGAGCCTCACATCCCTTTCCCCCCAGAATAGCTTTGTTTCTTGCCCTTTGTTAGTTCAGTTGCCTTAGGGGAAGCTGGACTGCGAAGGGCAAGCTTCCTCTGGTAATACCCCTTTGAGTCTGCTGTGTGAAGTCTCCAGCAAGGTCACTTTTTGATTCCTCTCTCTCTCTTGGGAACAATTAATCTGAGTGGTTGCTTTCTGGGTAAGTGTATACTCTGGTTATATCTCAGTGTTGTTTTGAGCTTTGAAATAGGATGTTTCTGTTTAGCGTTTGTTATCTGTCTGTAAAATGCACTCCATTCACCTCCTGCTGTGCAACTCTCCTCACTTCCAGCAAATGTGAGGTGATTTCACCTTTCTTTTTAAATAATTGTAAGCATGAAATCTGCTTTGAGCTGTGACCTTTTGTAGGACCAGGTGCTCATGCCAAGGTGTCTTCTGTGCTGCTTTGTACATACCAGGTGTTTTCTTCTTTCCTGTAGTTAGTATTGAAAAATACAATATAACATTTGGCCACAGAAGTAGAGATAGCAGCTTATTCTCTGTGAAGAGGTGAAACTCCTCTCCTAATAATGTAATCAAATCCATAAACTAATAGGTGAATTCCAAAAAGAATGAAAGTATATACAACTAATGACATTTGCACCCAGCAGTGTCTGCTCAGCCTGTGCACTAACACATTAGTGGGAAAGCAGCTGGGTTAAGATGACTGCTGGTGTGAGCAGGTGCAGTGCAATTGGTGTGGAGTGAGGCTTTAGCAGGGATCTTTGGTCATGTCCTCCTTAGTCTGCCGTGCTGATATTGTTACCTGTATGGGACCCAGGAAGGCCTGCCAGTCAGTGATTCCAGGCAGCAAGGCTTGAGACAAGTGGGACTGATATAGCTGAAGTGCATAAATATTCTCCCTTATTTTCTCGATCCTCTTTTGGCAGGAGTGTGTGGACAGCTACCAGTGTACCAACACCTGCAGAAGGAAGCACAGATCTTGCCCAGGGTTAGACAGTGCAGCTAGTGTGGCTTTCACTGGCAGAACTAGTGATGGTCTGTAGTGAAGGTGGAGAACTTGTGGGTGTTGTGGAAAAAGCATATGTAGCATTCTAAAACTGTGGTCCAGTTTTCATCCTACTTGTGACACTGTCTGCTGTAAGGAAGTCGAGGCTACTAAATGGGATGAGTGGAAGCTGGACTTGCTTTGTAGGATAATGCCACAAGGAACTATCTTTGAATTATATCACTGTTGACAAGGTAAATCTTACCTGTTAACATCAAAGATTTAACTGTCTTCTCTATGCTTAAGGTGTTGAAAGCTGGGTCATTGCTCTGCTGCACTCTGCCATACCTAGGGATTTCAGTAGGAGCTACCTGTCTGTGTCCCTCTTGGTTCTTTCCCAGAATCCCACAACAGGAAGAAAAGAGATGGAGGCTGTTTTCAGGAAATTTTATGTTCCCTTAGGAACAACTCATCAAAGTAGAGAGGAGTCTGTTGAAAGGACTCATTGAGTATCACTAAGCAGCACCACTGTGTGCAGTATGTAGCCCAGACCAGAGGGTATGGTTTGTGTTCTCTTCTGCTGTAGGTCAAGTTGTCCTGTGCTGGCTGGCTGGAAACTATATAACCCTCAGCACACTGACGTAGCTTTTGATCGCAGCAGTTTTGGGTAATAGACCTCAGGCAAAATGCTGTTTGTTGTTCCTTTATTGATTTTGCATCATTTTTCTTGACCCCAATTTGTGTTGCTCCCTTGTTGCCTTTAGATAGTGCTGCAAACAGTGCCAGTCTCTTGTTCTGCCCTTACAAGACCAGACTTAACATGTTACTGTTGCTACATCCCGATATGACAGGGACAAGCATTTATTGTTAGGCAGCATGTGCCCTCTCTCAGCTTCCACCATGTGTACCTTCTGTGATCTTTTGGATGCTTTCATGTCTGTCTGTCACACAGATATAATAAATGCCTTCTGATGTGGACGAGTATTATCCTAGATAGTTGCAACTTTGCAGCGGTCACTCATGGGTTGCTCGAAGCTGAAATGCAAAGGCACTGGGTTGCCAGGGCACCTCTGGTGACGAGGTTCATTGAGAGGTCTATGCATCTCCCAGATTGCTTTTCAGGTACAAGACCCTAGTAACTGTCCCCTTGGCTGACCTGGCACTTCAGCAATGAAAGATGAAAAAATTGATTCCAGCTTCATCTTACCAGTGAGAGTCACCAGTCTTCTGCACCAGTGGTACCTACTGAATAAACAAGCTTTATGTTACTGGAAGGCCTCTCTGGAGCCAAAGTTGGCTGTTGACCTGCTGATAGTTCTTTGATTGATAGGCAATTAAAATAGCAAATGTATGGGAGAGCTGCCACCTTGCCTAATGCAAGATGAATTATTCCTTGATTGGAATTTAATTGTCCATTTCCAGTTGACAGCTGGGTGGGCTGAAATTCTTTTTCTTCTTCTTTGTGCCCACTCTGGGTTTTCTGGAGTGATTCAGGGGCATACAGGTGTTGACAAACTGCTTGTTGGAGTGATTCCTGCATTGCTGTGTGAAACCTCACTGGAATGTGGTTGGAGCAGCTTTGGTGTCCGTGTGTCCAGTGTCACAGACTGGTTTAGATGAGCGATGGGGCATCTCCAGCAAGGGCCATAGCTGCTTCTTTAGCAGAATGTTGTCGGTTGTCACCTGCATTAATGCCAAGAGGGCATGAGGCTGAAATAAAGTTAGTGTCTAGGACTGACTGCCCAATTCCTCCACCTCCACCCGATGACATTAATGATGCTTAGTTTGTTTTGTGATTTCTGTGAAGGTGAAGCCTCTCTCTTGTCAAGTGTTCATGCATTAGTATTTTGGTTGAGAGGGCTACTTGCTGAGTGACTGGGACTTTTCACATTAGTGTTTTTGTCAGCCTGGAATGTCTTCCAGGTGGCACTGGGTGATAGGAGTTTGTTTGGTGGCTTAGCCTTTTTTTTTTTTTTTTTCCCTCAAGTATTTTTTGCTTAATGTGTCTTTTTCATTATTTTGCTTTCCAGGGTCCATCACTTAAGCAGTTTATGGACATTTTTTCTCTTCCTGAAATGACACTGCTCTCTTCAGTCATTGATTACTTCATAACTCATGGTATTGAGTTTGACCAGGTGCACCTTTACAAGGATATATCTGTAAGTAAAGTGTCAACAGCCCCATAGCTCATACCACATCAGAATTGTGAGCTCTTTGTTAGCACCCGTGAGCTCTGCAGTACCCAAACCTAAGGGGCTGTTAGTGAGCAGCCTCATAGAGGAGCATCGTTGCCCCTTTTAGATCAAAGGATCACCAGGGAATATTCAAAGCTGTGTTTTCAGAACATACTGGGTTTCTGTCTACTCCAGCATTGGTGTTGCTGTACATTATCTCTTGCAGGAGTGTGTAGGCTGGTTAGGCTGAAGGTCCTTCTGTGGGGGATCTGTCACAAAGCTAGTGTAAATGTTTTCTGGTTTGCAGACTTTTAAGTTCTATGTTTTCCAGTTAATATATATTTTTTCAATGAGATATTCATTATTCAATGAGATATTAACCATCTGTGGCTTGGTCTGACTGTGTACCAGACTGTTTGCTTTATACAGCAATTGTGCAACACTTGCCCTTGCCTACTCTGAGAATCCACCTCATCCCTTTGTAGCTACAGGATAGTCTGATCCTTTTGGGATGTTTTCCAGTGGCTTTCAACAGCCACTTACTCCAAGGTGCTAACTATGTCCTCCAGCTTCACTCCTGGCATTTGAAAGGGCTGTGTGGGATTATCAGCGTTGTTGGGGGTATTGCTTGACTTCTTAGTTAATGCTGTAGACAAGATGTAAGTGCTTGAGATTGCTGCCCTGGGTGGCTTCTGTTAACAGATGATGCACCTTTCTTGGTGCATCCAAGCCGTATCACACACCTTTTCCCATGGAGAGGGGTTTTTGATTTGTACCTTGTGGGAATCTTGCGCTCATCCACTGGTAGCAGCCCATCCACATGCCACTCAGTCTTCTTGTGAGGGAAATGGAGCTCCACGTCTGTGCTGCTGCTTTTGTGATAAGGATCCTCCCTGTCAGCTTTGCTGCAGCCAACAGCTTACATTCTGACCTTCTGTTAGTGCTTGATAGGAGCATCCCAGCCAGTTTCCGCAAGACCTGAAAGTGTTTCCAGGGTGCTAGTAGTTGTAGTTGTTTTCACTCTTGTGGTGAGGAAAATGGAAGAGAGGATACAGCTGACTCCTGAGGCTTTTGTCAAGAGTGTCTTCTGAGCCTTCTTATGAGATCAGAATGGATGTGTTTCTAACTGAAATCTTGAGAGCAGTTGAGTGGTTGACACAGCCTAATACATACTCAATATGTACTGACAATACAGTGCAAATGGTGTGCTCAAGTCTCAAAGTCCTGACTTTGCTGATCCTGGCATTTTTCTTGCATCCTTTGCTGAGGGATGTGGTCATGCCAGTGGAATGAGTGAGGTAGGCAGGGAAGAGAGCTATGACAGAAAATCTGCACCAATGCCTGAAATCTGTACTGCAAAGCTGGGGGCTCTCCTGTGCTCTCACCAGACAAGTTCTTGCCTTTTTTTATGTACAGTGAGGATAAACAAACATTTTTGCAGAACTCATCGCTTTGCAGTACCTGAGTGCAAGTGCAAAGAAGTGGTTTGTGGATGTAAGCACAGGGATCCTTCCGTGCCTACACAGGCAGGTGTCTGAGAGGACTTGCACAGTCCCAGCTGTTATGACAACACAGCTCACAGTGGGTTAAGACATGTCTAAACCTGACACTCTTCTGTAATTGTTGGTGGTAATTCTGTTTGCAGAGCTTTGTGTTTGGGAGCAGGTTGAGTGCTACAGACACTGCACTGAGTCAAAATGGCAGACCCTGAGGCAATGGTAAAGGTTGAAGCTGACATGTAAACCAAGTAGTCTGGTCATACGAGTTTGGTCGCTTCATATTTGAGAGTAAGAATGTACATTTTTCTCTGCTTTCCTTTGGAGGAGTGTTTGAGCCCTGTTTGACACTTCCGCAGGCTACCAATTTCCCTTCCCTTTTCCCTTCTTTGGCTTTCTGGGGGCAGGGATTTAGGGAAGGAGCACACTGGAATCTCTTTCTGCTCTGCAGAGGCAATTTTGACACAAATCCAAAGCATTGCTTGCTTTTAGTGCCAGTGCTGGTCAAGAGAAAATTGTTTGCTTGTTAACTCTCTCGCTTTTTGTTCAGTTTCTTTCCAATAAGGCAGTCTCTTAGTGAACTAGATGTGACCTCTGCCTTTTTACCTTTCAAATCTACATGGTGGAAAAACTCCTAAAACTGTTTTGAAGAGGTAACGCCCTCTCTTTCATCGTCCCCCATCTAGGATGTAAATTCTGATTCTCCCCAAGCTTTGAAGGAACTGATTTTTAGGGTGATGAGCAGGTTTCACCAGCACAGCTGTGAGACCAGTAGCAATGTCAGTGGCAAGTGTGGGAATCCAGTCTGGAAGGGCAGCTCCTGAGCCCATGTACTGTAACTGAGATTTAAGGGTCCTGGGGAAAGGCAGCATTTTTTTACCTGTCTAAACTGTCAGGGATGAAAATGGCATCATTAAACCAAGCATTTGCATGTGCAAACACAGCTAAATGTGTTGCTGCTTTGAAAATCATTTTGTGTATCTGGCATATCCCATTGGATGGAGATTTGGGAAGAATCTCAATTGGGTTTGCCCAAAAATGTGATGCATCTTGGCCTCTGGCCTGGAAAACAGAGGTTATTTGGATGCCCTTGACAATATCTGTTTTAACTTGCATCCCTCCTGAAAAGTGGACAGCTTTGTTTTGGCAAAAACCCCTCACTCTCCTAGGGGAAGCTTCTGCTCTGCCTGTGCCCACCAGCCATCCGGGGCCAGGAGCTGTAGCCCCTTTTGGCTTGTGGGAAGCGCTTTGGAATCACAGATGTCCACCTCTGCTGCTGTTTGCCTGGGCCATGCTCTCATCCTTTGAGTCATATTTGGCAGAGCTTCCACAAGCACAGGAAGGAAGAAAAGCCAGCTAGTGTCTGGGCCAGTACAGTTCTAGGGCAGTAAATGGTTTTGGAGTTGCAGTCTTGATTTTGCCTTGGTAACAGTGTGTTAACATGTGCTGGTTTCCAGGAGCAGGAAGGAAGTTGTGCTTTCATAGACAGGTTTTGAGGTTTTTCCCCTTCTCCTGCACTAGCTGAGCTAGCCACTCTGATGTTCTTTTTGGTATGTTGGTGAGCCCCATGGTACAAGGCTTAGCTTTAACATAGCTTTTGTTCATTCAGCAAGAAGAGAGCAAGTGTCATTACTGTACTGGTCCTCAGTGGTGGCAATAGGTTTGCATGCTGGGAAACAGGAATGTCATATGTAAAACTGAAACGTTTTTCTCTGCCGTTTTCTTTAGGATGCTATTAGAGATGTACATGTGAAAGGAGTGATGTACAAATGGATTGAAAAAGATATGGGTGAGTTAAATAGAGCTCTGGTGCCCAACCCATTTTGACATGTCTTGTACTGCGTGGCATTCTGTGTAAGATGTGAAGTTCCTACATGCAGTAACAGGAGTCAGGGGGACACAGAATTTATTGAAATACTTGATTGTGGCCTGTTTAAAGGCAGCTGAGGGGCAGAGTGGCATTAAGAAACAAATGGTATTTAGGGTCAGATGGAGGATCTATTTCAATGAAGGAAACAGCTACCTCATTGCTTGTGTTTGTTTCTGTTTTCCCTCAGCTTGTGAGGGATGATGGTCCTTGGCATGATGTGAACATGCAAAGGCACCACCTGGGAAGGCTTCCTGGTCATTCAGGAGAAAGAAAGTTCCTGGTAGCAACATGGCTTGGAGGGGCTGTGCCTGTCCCTTGTGATGGTTTGGTATCAACCCTCTTTTTTTACCAGCCGTTTCAGTTCCTCAGTCTTTCTTTTCCCTCTGGATGGGATTGAAGAAGATGAGGAAGGCCATTTTGTTACCATGGTGGTTCACTACCTACGTGCCTGAGGTGGATCTAACTCAGGCCTTTTGCATCCCTAGTGGTATAGGAGCTAGGTTTGGTTCTGTTTCTAAGAAGAAATGTGGTCATGACTTATGCCAGTTTTAATTGTCTATTTTATTCTGATACAGAACAGTATATTCTGCACGGGGATGAAATCTATGCTGTGCTAAACCGACTGGTGAACCACAAGAAGAAACTCTTCCTCATTACAAACAGTCCCTTTAGCTTTGTGTGAGTACCATTACTGCATATCAGTGGGCCACCACAGCAAGAACTCTGCAGTGTGGTCTTTCCTGTGGACATCTGAAAGTTGTATGCTAGAGGTTTTTGTGGCATTACTCCTGAGGGTGCTCTCTGGGAACCGGTTGTGGTGAATGTTGCACCCCACAGCGCTCTCCACATCACTGACTCTCACGTTTTTGAAGAAGGTACAAGGCTGTGGCTGGCCACAGTGTTACAGAGCTGACAGTTGCCATTACCTCTAGCAGCTTTTGCTGCGTCACAGACTTCTCTGGACTTCCCATGGTAGAGGAGAAAGGGCAGGACAGCTTGAAATGGTTCAAGTGCAACATCAACAGTCTTGTGCAATGAGAGACCCTTGGGGGAATTCACAGATCATAGAATCATAGAAAGGTTTGGGTTGGAAAGGACCTTAAGATCATCTAGTTCCAACCCGCTGCCATCTATGCTTTCTTCTGTTACTGAAATTAGAGTATAATGATGCAGTGTTGGGTGAAAAAGAGTACTGGATCTGTTAACTTTGTTGTTCCATTGCCCTTAGGGACAAAGGAATGAAACACATGGTTGGCAAGAACTGGCGGGACTTATTTGACATGGTCATTGTGCAAGCTGACAAGCCCAACTTCTTCACTGATCGGCGGAAGTACGTGTCCTGGGGAAGCACTGCCCTGCTGCACGGGGGGCTAAGATTTTGGGCCCCCTTCCTTTTACTTTCATATTTCAACTGTCATCTCTGATACTCTTTGAGGAGATGAAAACTGACCAGTCTCGGAATAAGTAGAATGAATAGTGCCAGGCAGAAAGCGTGTTTCTAAAATTGTCATCAGTTTTGTCATTGTCTGTGCTTAACTTAGATTTTTAGGGATAATAATGTCCTTAAATCTTTAGAAAGAAAAGAAGAGTGGAATGGTATGTATGAGAGCTGGCCATTTCATGCCTCTGGGTCTTGAGAATGTGCCAAAATCTTTCCTTTTCCTGTTCCCCACAGCAAATATTTGTGTGGGTTTTGTTCCTCTCTTTCTCCCTTCCTCTTTCTCCTTTCTTTCTCTCTTTCTCTTTCTCTCTCTCTTTCTTTCTTTCTTTCTCTCTCTTTCTTTCTCTCTCTTTCTTTCTTTCTCTTTCTTTCTCTCTCTTTCTTTCTTTCTCTCTCTTTCTTTCTTTCTCTCTCTTTCTTTCTTTCTCTCTTCCTTTCTCTTTCTTTCTCTCTTCCTTTCTCTTTCTTTCTCTCTTCCTTTCTTTCTCTCTTTCTTTCTTTCTATTTTTCTCTTTCTCTTCTTTCTTTTTCTTTTTTCTTCTTACTCTTTTTCTTTCTCTCTCTCCCTCTCTCTCTCCCTCTCTCTCCCTCTCTCTCCCTCTCTCTCCCTCTTTCTCCCTCTTCTCTTTCGCTTCTTTCTTTTTCTTTTTTCTGCTTACTCTTTTTCTTTCTCTCTCTCCCTCTCTCTCTCCCTCTCTCTCCCTCTCTCTCCCTCTTTCTCCCTCTTTCTCCCTCTTTCTCTTTCTCCTTCTTCCTCCTTCTTTCTTTCTCTCTCCTTCTTTCTCCTTCTTTCTCTCTCCTTCTTTTTTTCCTTCCCTCTCTCTCCCTCC